CAAGGCGCCGGTGGCACCACCAAAAAACGAAATAATGGTGTCTATTCTGCAGCCTGCAGGGGACCAGCGACCGTTGTGTGACCTAACGGATTAGTCACAATCGTCCGTGCCTAAGCTCTTCCAATGATGTGAAGAACAACCGTCTCGAGGCTATCCTTAACTTCAATGTTCGCTGCCATGGAGGCAGCGGTAGGTCGCCGCGGAATAGGTAGATGCAAGGACGACAGTTTCCTACTGCGGGCGTGGATAAAACATGACCTTGCCAAAACCTTCCGCCTGCCAAATCGGAAGACAATGCAGATGCATCCTCTGGTGTGTTACCGACCATCCAATTAAAGTCCTTAAAGAAGCTATAAACGCGCTTCCTTTTGTGGGGCACTATGCCAACTTTAATCACACGCCTCCATACAGAAAAAAGTCAGAGCAGCGGAGGTGTCCAGCGGAAAATCCCCGGGCGCTGACTCAACTCCGGTCAAAATCTAAAGGGGTGGTGGTCCCAAACCCACGAGCAAGCTTGATTTATTGATCCAGGGGATGCGGTGACAAGGAAAATTTAACAAGATATCAAAGATGTAACCACTCTTCAACCATACGAGCGCAAATGGTGACCGGCTGGCGTCGATGGCTAAACAGCCCCATAGCGGAAGAAACTGAACGCACAACGGAGAACTCGGTAGTGCTAAACTGGTCGAAGTCACGTTGCGTACTCAACTCTACAGTAAGACATGAAGACTCTTGCTTGGAATCGGTTATATTAGAGGGGCAGCGACATCTGAAGCCATCAGCGTATGAGTCTGAAACGAACCGACAATGGGCAAGAGAAGCATGCCGCAAATCAAAAATCCTAACGCTGAACTCTTATCCACATTGCTCTGTTGTCGACGAACTTCCAAGGCACAGATTATAATCGCTAGAAACTGACAGACTCACTACAATGTCCCCAAAACCAGATCACAAACCACATAACAAGGCTCCACTACCACTAAAAAACTAGTCCCACCCACTCTCACCGTAACATTACATTTTAGCCCCAGGTCGCAAGGATTGGGGACTTTAACACTCACCACCGCAAGGACAGCATATTTAACGGCGGACAGTGTCGGCTTCTCCTGGTTGTGGTAACATGCCAAAATCGGCACCGGCCTGCTCAGATGCGCGAATACACCTAAACACGAGTTACGCTACGCACCCTGAGAAAAATGCATTAGGTTCCCTACCGTCGCATAGACTTATTCAGTCATATGCGCATGTAGTCACTAAGACATTACTCGCCACTCATTCATCTACCAGTTATACAACAACTATGTAAATAAGCATCCGAAGGGCGTTGGTAATGGGTGTTTTCCTGCGGGGGCTTCACGCCACGCCGACTCAAACCTCACTACCAGTCGTCCGACAGACCACTGGTGTATGGGAGGAAAATTGATGCTGATACTGAAGTTCCCACCATAATCGATCCGACGGGCCAAAATCCGTGGCTTCGCAAGTCACCGGTCAGAAAGAAAACTCCGTGCTTCACTGGGGCGAGGGGCAGACGCCAATACTAGGGCCATTATGACACTTCCAACGAACGTGAGACCCGAGACATACGCTTTACTTGAGATCCCCAATTCGTATGCGTGTGGTGAGCAGGTCATATGCGAAACGCACAGGCTACTTGGTCTTGTCCCCCCA